TGGCAAGGCGTATTTCGTAGGAGAGCGAGCTTTTCTACATAACGTCTTTTGGACCACCATTTACAGTTTTACATTTTTGAGTATTTCATTTTGCTAAAAGGTACTGTAAACAGTTTTTTTTATTTTGGATAGTTCCGGAATGTGAAAATATTTCGCTTGTGACCATAGTGGTCTTATAGTTGTCTTCCTGCAATATGAACGGGTTAGTCATGTCTTGGATGTGTGTGTGTGTGTGAAATGTTGTATGGAGCCTCAAAGCATCGTCATTTGTTAGTGTGTGATCCGGCTGTGTCATCTGGGTTGGCAGCTAGGTTCCGGTGTACGTAAATACCATTTATCCGGAGCACCCACCTCACGCTTTGAGATCCAAATGTTCGGCGATGAGAATTGCTGTGGCATGTTGGGTATCGAACTCAAGTGCTCTGTGTGGGAATGGGTTGGGGAGTTGAACTCACAGTGCATCCGAAAGAGGTAGGGAAGGGTGAGGGGAAAGGGGGCGGGAGGCCATTCAGTCATTTATCGTCGTTGCCGTCTTGCTGGATTCTAGCGTGGCCTTTAGCTGGGATTATACGTATCACGTTACCAACCTTTGCTATCATCCCACTGATGGGGTGGTATTGGTGGTTAAGTGTTCTAGTTCTGTCAGTATCGATTCACTTGTTTTCCCTATTTGCTGTCAGACATATCTTGTGAGCCCCACGGGTCATGTTTATGTTGTATGCATGATGCAGAATGGGATGGCTTTGAGTATGAATCCCTGGTGTATATGGACACACACAACTAAGTGTATGCGTATATGCACTCGAGTATTCATACACGCAGACAACACTACATGAGTGCACTTCCTTTCATACTTTTCCGTGTATGCATACCTATTTGACATTACGTACACATGCATACTCTTTGATACGTGTCTATCAATGCCTACATAAATGCACTTAAAGTCATGAAAAACGTGTGCATCCACACTTAAGGACACCCACACTTCCATGTCTTGCATGTTTTTTGTGTCGCTATGTCTGTAATATCGTCTGGTGGTGTCACTTTAAAAAAAAAGTTATGTCCCTTTCCTGGTATGTGACCTGTCCGTTACGTTCTTATCATGTTCTGGTGGGTGGTGTGTGTTGATGAGCTTCTTGCTGGCATACACACTTTATTCCATTTAATCTCGTTAACAGGTTCTATATAAGTAAAGCAAAGGACCGTTTTTAACTAGCTATAACCACGAAGTAAAGCAAAGGACCGTTTTTAACTAGCTATAACCACGAAGTAAAGCAAAGGACCGTTTTTAACTAGCTATAACCACGAAGTAAAGCAAAGGACCGTTTTAGTATTGGGCACACAAGACTAGACCTATATTTTATAGACCAATCGGCAGTTGATGTGGTTAATATCACTTTAGGCGTCTTTACTTTCCAGGATTTTACCCCGTACCCATTTAAAGATTGTTCAACATGCGAGTCAAGTGTCGTGAAATGATAAGCCATTACGCATCAGTCTCTAAGACTGGTAACCTAACTTACCTGTAATCGGCACAAAATTCAAACTTGGACTCGTCCGGAAAGATATAGTCCCTTATATCTATATATATAGGTCTTTATTGGACAACATTATTATGTCTACCTTTTCTGGTTGCTTTAACTAAACTCCACTTTTAAATGTATATATCTTTGATATATATTAGAGTAGTTATTTGAGGTTTCTTAGAAACCGATGCACTCCTTGCCCATGTATACTAGGGACTTCTTTTTTTACCAACGCCTGAAGCGTCTAAGTGACGCCATTCTCTTTGCCAGCTTCCTAGCGTCCAGACGTGTCAATTGATGCCTGTATAATTTCAATTTCATGAGGCAATCTGGAATGTCTCAGACTTTTCATATGCTTGGGATGTATCCTTTGTGAGGAGCTGGCAGAAGTTACACAGTCCAACCAACACCCACCAACCATAAACCATAACCCATCAATCAATGAACCCATTACCTACCACTTATCACCCAACTACCAAGTGTGGAGATTGATGTCAGTTTGAGGTGCCATATACCCCAAACTTCCTACAGTGCCAGAACATGTGTGTAGCTCATGGACAGTGCTGCTAATGACTAGTGGGAGCCATTTGCTGTGTAATTATCCAGTGCGGTGTCCTTTATGGTGAGGTACTCCTCCACCAGCTGATCCAGTTGAGGCAGAGTCACCAAAGACAGTCGAATCATCAGGAGCTGAGGGAAGCATCATAGACGGAAAGAGGATAAGTTCAGTTTGATGCCTTACTTGCAATATTCCTCACAGCTCACATGTTTCCCAATGATGACAATGTGTCATCTCCAGGACCTTCTGTCTGTGGAATTTTGGTGATCTGGACATTGTATCCTGGAATCCAGCTATAGAAATCTGGCATCTGCTTCTCTATATTTTCTATTTTGTACATGTTGTAATGATTACATGCATTCATTTTCATGGCTGACTTAGGTTTCTCTATTTCACTTTTTTAAAATGTGTAGCATTTGTGTGTGCATGAATCTTAACTATATGTGTTAACATGGTTATGATAATGACTTATCATAACCTGGGGGCTTTCTTTAGTAAGTAGTGGGGGTGTCCAGCCAAGTGTGCCTAGGAATATGGTATTCATATACTGATATATTTTATAGTGCCAATACTTGAGTTGCCCTACTCCAGAGATACGTTGAGCGTATATTGGCCACGGGGAATCCCTTAGACCAATACGAGCCAAACGACTCAACATAATTATCTCTGAGTGCTGTTGGTTCTGAAGGAGAAATCCTTACATTAGGCACGCGACAGGTGTGATATGTGACATCAAGGTTATTTTTAAAGGAAAAGAGTCTGACTCCGTTCAGATTTGAACCCATGACGTTCGGATCCGCAGGCGTGTCTAACTGCTACACCATGTCGGATGCCGTCATGTATAAAGTAATCAACAAACGTGTGTAGGTTGCCTGTACTGAAGTAGTTAAAGCACTAGTGATAGTGTAGTTAGACAGGTAAGTTAAATGTTGAATAAAAATCGATATCACAGCACTCGGGACACTGCCATAAGCGCTCCACCCCCATATTCAGCAGCAGGCGAAGAGTTTCATCTTTAATACTACCTGCAACTGTTTGTGTATCCCTCTCATCTTTCCCTTGAGTATTGAACGTCGGCGAGAGCCCTTGGTAACGCCTCACAGCGCCATTCTCCTCAGTCCATAACGATCTACTTGTTCCTTTTCCCTTTCTAATCACCTTCCCCCTTTTCATGCAGCACTGCACATGGCATCTTGTTCCAACGAATCTTTCTAGTTACATGCATCATTCATATCTTATTTCCACACATAGTAGGGACAAACCTCGACAGTATAGAATGGCAGAGATAACACAGATTTCTCATTGACACAGAGAAAATGCATGACTTTTTACCACAACCATCTAGGTAAGCACTTTCATTAAAAAAAGTTTGGATACGGTGCACACAGATTTTATTGGGTAAATAGGAGGCAAAACCGCTCCACATGGTCAGTCCACTAAAGTGTCTTAAAGGCCAGGTACAGATGTACACCTAATTTAATACCAGATCGTTGCACTTGCCAACCTAATGGTTCATTTGTTTGTAACGATTTCCTGAATTAGTAATGTGAAAGCCGTCTTTATAAATAAATAATATTACAAATCAACTTGGTAAGAGTTGTTGCAAACAGAAAAGCTAGAGAACATTCTCTGTGTAAGACTGCAGTACATCTTTTAATCACCAACCAAAATGGGTGACTGAAACTTTATGCCAAGAAATAGAAAAAAGACAAAAGTAGTTTTTAAATTGTTTTATGAACAGTAAAATCAAAGACAGACATACTCACAAAAGTATAATACTTCTTATTCTGCACATTACACATCAGAATTAAGCATAATCTGTTATACAACACTCGCAGGTTTCTCACAATAAAACTCATCAAGAAATTTTGAAGAGATAAGAGTTTGAACATGGTAGTGGCTAAATAAGGGGGAAAATCAAAGGGGGAAAAGGGATTTGGTTGTCTGCTACATTCAATAAATAGTATTTCAGTTTGGGTCTAGTCTCCAGACGAAAAGACTGATGAAAGTGCTTTTGTTTTTCGAGGACAGAGTGAAGCTTTCCAGGCCAACAGAAATTGTACACTTTGCATTGGTCAGAGAATGTTGGACAGATATTCATAAATTTAGCATCCAAATGTTGAAACACTCAGTAAAATATGGTAAATGGACACATATAGAACTGATGTGATTTTACTTACTATAATTAAAATTGAGCAATCCATATTGTTTAAATAATGGAATATATTAATGAACAGTCAGTCGCAACATTTCTCATCAGCGCTATATTAGTAATTAAGAAGCACCACCTATCAGCTGTAACATAATCAAAACAACAACAAATATGGTATGCTCTTTAACTGGATGTTTGCAGACAGAAATTGGAACGCTTGAAACAAAGGAAACTTTGCGATCAGGAAAATGTTACAGCCAACAGGAAACTGCTAGAACGCTTGCAAAATGATTATAGTAGTTATGGAATGGTGACACTCTTTGGCGTGAAAAGCTTCAACAGTACATGAAAGAAAGAAGGACCACATTTGGAAACATTTGTAACGCATTTATGGAGCTTTGCACTGAGGTCTTAAATTTATTATCAACAAAACTTGATGAAAAAACTGGGCAAAACAATAAAAGCATTTACCCAAGGCTATAAATAAACAGAGCAGCAATATCACAAATAAAGCTGTTCCTACCTTTGTGATAGCATATATTCTGCTTTACGACAAAGTGAAATTTTAAAATTCTGATATGGTTTGGCATTGTGTGTGTGTGGTTGTTTGAAGAGTTCGTTACCACTCTTTTTTTCATCAGTGCAGGCTGCCAGATTTTGAAACATGCTATTCTGTCTCATTCTCAGATTAAAAAAAATAAAAACTGAAATGTCAAGGAGAGATGTAAAAAGGCATTCAGGTGATTAGGGGGACAGGTGGGAGTTACTGAGCATCTTCCTCTTTGCCCTTCAAAATTCCGACAAATGTGTTGTAGTCAAACTTTCCCTTTTCCAAGGGTGCTTCCTTCCATGTCTGCTTGATCTGTAATGAAAGAAATAAAACATAATAACAATGACTACAGAAGATCAAATAAACTCCCGCCCAAACTAAATGTTAATTTAAGAAAGCTGACTATTTATGAATGTTTTAAAATAAATGTCTGGAAAGCACAAAGAAAGCAACATGTTTACTTATATGTGTACATACAGGATTTTAATTAACACTTTAAATATGTTGTGTTCAATAAAAAAAAAAAAACGACCAGTAATATGGAAATACTTCATTGCCTACTGGCATGGGAGAGAGCATCTATGGGATTATCGCATCTATGAAAATATCGTGATAAAAAGATGGCAGTCCTCAATTGATTCATTCCAGTAATTTTGTACAAAGAGAAGGGGAAACAACTGAGAATATCCTAACTGCCTGCCTTTAGGTTTTTCTCTCCAGTGTGGTTATTTCAAGGCTGCTATCTTTTTATGTTACCAAAATATTTCACTTGTCTCTGTTTTATGTCTTTAATCAATTGTCTTTTCATTCTCAACCTCTCTATAATCTTTGTATTTGATCTTTGAGGTTTCCATTAAAAAAAAAAAAAAAAAAATTAAGATTTTCAGTATAAGGATCATTGCAAAGGATTCAGTTCAACATGTCTTAGTATTTTAGTACCTGTCTACATTGAAGCTGAGCATCTGCTAAGATAATTAACAAAACAAATCATTTGAAGAGAACAAACCAAGTCACCATCTTTCACTGACACACCGGACACTGCAGACTCAACACTCACAAAAAGTCTCTTGAGATGACGTGTATTAGAATTAGTGAACAGATATCAATTTTACAAAAAAAAAAAAGAAGAAGAATAAAACTCAAATGATATAATTCCAGGGACTGTCTCGAGTGATCTCCTAAAAAAAAAGTGCGCTAAAATGAATGCATGACTTTGACTGTGTAAAGCAAACATTTTACAATTTAAATTTTCATTTTTAATTTGCTGTTTATTTCTGTAGATTTAAAATCCTTAAATGTTTTATAGTTTGGCCCTTTCTGTTTTTTTTTTTGGTTAATTTCTATTCCTGTTCTGCCACCATCCATTGTTACATTTGACATGTAGGTAGAGAAATATATAATAATATATTTAAGTTAACTCAAGTATTACCTCTTCCTCAGTGAAGTTGTCACCCATGTTTGCAAGCAAGTCTTTCAGGCTGTTAGAAACAAAGCAATTGTGATTCAGTTTCATCATAGATATTCATTCTTAGTGACCATCTACCATGGTATTTGTGACTTGTATTGAGCAATTGAAATCTACTCATTTGTTTAACCGATGATGAAGACCAATGAAGATACTCTCTTTTGAGTAGGACTGTCATAATGTTGGGATTGTTAAAAGTGTATGGCTACCACAGTGGTTTTGCTATAGTACTGGGATTGTTCAAAGTGTATGGCTACCACAGTGGTTTTGCTACAGTATTGGGATTGTTCAAAGTGTATGGCTACCTCAATTGTTTTGCTATAGTACTGGAATTGTTCAAAGTGCATGGCTACCACAGTAGTTTTGCTATAGTATTGGGATTGTTCAAAGTGTATGGCTACCACAGTGGTTTTGCTATAGTATTGGGATTGTTCAAAGTGTATGGCTACCACAGTGATTTTGCTAAAGTATTGGGATTGTTCAAAGTGTATGGCTACCACAGTAGTTTTGCTATAGTACTGGGATTGTTCAAAGTGTATGGCTACCACAGTGGTTTTGATATTGTATTGGGATTGTTCAAAGAGTATGACTACCACAGTTGTTTTGCTATAGTACTGGGATTGTTCAAAGTGTATGGCTACCACAGTGGTTTTGCTATAGTATTGGGATTGTTCAAAGTGTATGGCTACCACAGTGGTTTTGCTATAGTATTGGGATTGTTCAAAGTGTATGGCTACCACAGTGGTTTTGCTATAGTATTGGGATTGTTCAAAGTGCATGGCTACCACAGTTGTTTCGCTATAGTATTAGGATTGTTAAAAGTGTATGGCTGCCACAGTGGTTTTGATATTGTATTGGGATTGTTCAAAGTGTATGGCTACCACAGTGGTTTCAATGTGTTTTCCAGTGGTCTTAGGTGACCCCTGTGAAAGGGTCGTTTTACCCCTACAAGGGTCACGATCAACAGATTGAGAGCCGCTGCTCTAGGGTTTCTTTTGTCAAAGAAATATTTAACTGGCTCTGATTTTGACTGGTAGGTGCAGTAAGTCAGCTTTAGAAGACTGATATTTTTCAAGCAGTTTTGAAATAATTGATTTCAGTGTTGAAAGAAAAAAAGTCAGCGTGGAAGATCTAGTTAGGACACAAAACTAATCAATAAAATGTATAAAACTAGTTGTAAATTTGGCTTAATAATACCTAGGTCTTTGTAATGAAGTTGTCAAGCTGTTTGTCTCTCTCTGTCACTCTCTCTCTCTCTCCCACTCTCTCTTACACACCCACTCTGCCACTCTCTCCTAAACACACTCTCTCTCTTAAACTCCCTCTTACTCTCTTTCTCATATATTCTCTCTCACCCTCTCTCTATCTCAAATACTCTTTCTCTCACTTTTTTTCTCTCTCTCAAAAAAACACACTCTTTTACACTCTCTCTCACACTCTCTCTCACACTCTCTCTCACACTCTCTCACTTTAACTCTCTCTCACACTCTTTCTTACATTCTCTCTCTCACAAACTATCTTTCTCTTATACCCTCTCTCTCTCACTCACATACTCTCTCTCCCTTTCTCTCACACACTATCTCTTTTTTACACTCTCTTACGCACACTGTCTCAGACATACTCTTTTCCTCACACTCACTCTGTCTATCTCTCACACACTCTCTCTTTCTCACACATATTCTTTTGCTCACAAAACTTTTGCTCACTCTCTCAAAATGCTCTCCCACACACAATCTGTCTTTCATTCTCTCTATTTCTCTCTCACTCTCTCCTGAAAATCTCAGTTAAAATTTACAGACTGTCATTCAGTTCACAGGTAAAATTGTTCTGTGGATCATTACCGAAGTGACAGAGTTCATACTTTGTGTGACATTCTTGGCAAGTAGCTATCCATTCTGACATCAAAGAGCCATATTATATTATACCCAGTGCAATGAAGTTAATCCCCTTTATGATAACTTCAAATGAACTTTATGTTGTTACGGTGTGATACCCCCCCCCCCCCCTCTCCACCGCCAGCCCTAGCCAAACTTTTACCTACCACCTACCAAAGTAAGCTGGGAATTTTCGTAGTTATGACATTATATCTTGTGTTTTTGTGTTCATGCGGGGAACCTGGATTCAAATCCTCCGTAAGATGAATACAGACGAAGAAAAATCATCGATAAGGCTGTGGATTTTTTTTTTGGGGGAACAAAGATAAAAACTCAAACCTGCGGAGTCCGTGGCAGCAGGACTAGCCTTAAATCCTGAGGCTGAAAGGCCTCCTGTCTACACAGCAAAACTGGTAAATATAGGCAGTATCTGCATTTAGAAAGGGGGCAGGGAATTGTTTTATTCCCACAATAAAAAAAAATAAATGAAAACTTAATTTAACTGGATCTTTAGTTTTTGACCACATGCTTTTTAACTGTGATAAAAACAGAATCAGACATACTATTCTTCATGGATGAACCCTTTTCCTTCTGCGTCGAACATGGAGAATGCTTGCCGGATAGTGTCTTCGGGATCAGTTCCTGGTAAAAATAGACAGAGCACCATTTAGGGACCCATAAATGTGGTAATCATCACATGAATATAGATTATAATTATTATAAAAGTCATCATTATCAGGATCCCTGCGGTAGGCGTCATTGCATGTCCACAGATCTCGGTCCGTTGTCGTTCTTGGTCAATTCCGATGATATCCCTCAGTTCCACCGATGATATCCCTCAGTTCCACCGATGATATCCCTCAGTTCCACCGATGATATCCCTCAGTTCCCCCGATGATATCCCTCAGTTCCACCGATGATATCCCTCAGTTCCACTGATGATATCCCTCAGTTCCAGCGATGATATCCCTCAGTTCCACCGATGATATCCCTCAGTTCCACCGATGATATCCCTCAGTGCCACCATTGAGGTCCATCTTTCATCATCTCTTTCAGTCTGCCTCTCCATCTTCTACCACTGACCTTCATGGTCATCACAATATTCTTCCTGGCATTCTTCCTCACAATTATAAAGGTAAAACACACATTTTGGAACATTTTCTTCTTCTAAGCATTTACCGACTGGTTGTTCATCCACTTCTGGACTGTAGTTTTATACGAGAACTTGGGTTTTGCATGCACATCAACTTTACAGATCTGGCTTTTTGTGTGTGCAGACTGTTGGTTCCTGGCATCTCAGGCAGATGTACTCTGACTTCAACAAAGGAAACACCCCTAATTTCTAAGCTTGTACGACATGTTTGTTATTGTGACAATAAGTCTATTATTTGTTTATCCAAAATGGGGCCTCAGAACTCACATGGGGATTTTGAACTAAGTTTAGAAAAAATAAAAATAAAAACCCACTGAAAGTATGAATGTAAGATGTGGTTCATTATACAAGGTGAAGAAATTAGTACATATAACGACATTTCACAAATTTTTCTTGCAACAAGTCGGTCAGGTTCTGTGCTATCTCCCCAATGATGGTTGGCTGCAATGGATTCACTACAAGCACTGTCTCTTGTTTTGGTTGTATGTTCCAGAATGCTGTTTGTTCATCTCTTGATGTTGTTCCCCACAGTTGCATCATTGTCTATCTTTTTCTTTACTGACTTCAACATTTCCCTCTACTTTAGCTTTTAAAAGAATATTATGTCTTTTAATAGGGCCGAAATTTTTTTAAATGTCATTTGAAAAACAATTTATTTTGGCAACTCTCATTTTATTCAGTCTCTTAAAAATGTCTATATTTGATTTTGTTTTTTTTTTTTTTGTGTTCTGTTTTGGTTTTTGTTTCTGTGAAATACAACCTATTATATGTTTTTTCTATGAAACATGACCTATTACAAGTTTTTTGTTTCCATGAAATATGACCAATTAAGTGCTTTTGTTTCTGTGAAATATGACCTATTACTTGTGTTTGTTTCCATGAAATATGACCTATTACGTGTTTTTGTTTCTGTGAAATATAACATATTATGTGTTTTTGTTTGCATGAAATTCAATCTTCTACAAGCTTCATGCAAACAGTCAACAATTTTTTTTTGGGATTTCTGAAAGAAAAGAAAGGGCTAATCAAAAGTATGAATGACAAAAATCCTGAAGAGTTAGGGACAAAAATGCTAATTTATAAGGATTTTGAAAGAGATAAAATCAATGAGCTGTGCAAAGATATAAATAATGCAGGTTTCCTACTACAAGACTTACAAATATAAAACTGATAACAATTCTCAAAATACCAGGAACAACTGAGTGCTCTCTTTTAAAAGAAATATGTTTAACAATTTTGTCTTATAAACCACACACTGAACATATTATATAAATAATCCTGGTAATATATGCTGTAAACAATAAAATCTGCTAAAGGAATTGAATTGTAGAACAAGAATTAAATTTCCTAAAGATTAGTTAAGCAATACTCTGTCTGAGAACACTTGTAAAAAAATGCATAAAGATTCAAATGTACTCATAGACAATGAAAAAAGGCATTCGATTGAATATTCCAAAACAAATAAATTAAATTGCTTAGTTAAAATCAATATGAATGGTAAAGAGAGTAACACTGATACAGGGAAGAAAAATCAACATTAAGATCAAGAAGTTTATATCACCCGTTTCAGATAGGAACCGAGGTGGGAGAAATGTGTTTGTTGTCGTCTTTCTTATTATGTATGCATGTATGCATATGATAGATTAACATATTTAGTGGCAAGACACAGATTCAGCGTTTATGGGCAACTAATAAACACTATAAAATAGTTTGCTGTGAACAAATAAATCTTATTACAATTCATCACAAGTGGGCAGGGTTTGAACAGTTTGAGAAGCCCTGCTTTACTTGATTGTCCTTTAAATAAACTCACCACTGAGCTTCTCTCCAAAGAGGTTAAGGAACATAGTGAAGTTGAGGGGACCTGGTGCCTCTTTCAGCATCTCATTCAGCTCCGAGTCAGGCGGGATACGACCTGTAGGATATGTTCAATGAGATCTTGTTTTAGTAAGTGTATTTAAGGTATACTGATTTCTCTCATATTAAACTTACTTACAACTAATATTTGGAATATTGTAGAGATCTAGAAAGCACTACTGCCACTGCACACAGACAATGTCTTAAGTGCCACGATCTCCTTTTATATCTGATACCACATTACCCTTGCATTAGTTGGTAGAACAACAGTCACATTAGTAAACCTCCTCACTGCTTGAACTTTTGACAAGTAAGTTGTGAGTATCCTTCAGAGGACTTGCAGAACCAATGCCAGCATTTTTTGGCTGTTGTAGTTTTTCTCTCCACATTTTATATTCAGTAGTTTTCCATTGCTTTCTGAACTGTCAGCTCTTGGTACCACTGTCGAAAGCAACACAAGACAAACCGTCTGCAGCTGGGATAAAAGCAAACACCCAATCATTGCGAAGTGAATTCACAATGCCTAAGTCACAAACGCAAACTTGAACTGTACAGACATTAAATCGTTCAGTAAGAACATCACCAGAAGGAAAACAATATCAGAATCAAGTCATAAGAGAACAAGTTTGCACACAACCACTACTAAATGCATACAAAGGGAAACAGGACATAGAGCATAAGTTAGATTAGGAAAAACCGAAGAGATAACATCAGAGAAGCTCCACAACAGTTTGATCAGTTTATGTTCAATGTGGCAGAAAAAGAAAGAAGCAGAACCTTATATTTTCCTCGACACAAGAAGCAGTGAAAGAGAAAGTGAAAGAAAGAAGAAGTAAGCACAGACAAAACAGTTCTTTGCAGATAATTGAAATCTTGTGTATATGAGTTGGAGATTACTTTCTCAACACCTTTTATCTTCAGATAATTCCCAGAAAATTATCTAATTCCAATAATACTAAATTTGTGAACTTTGTTACATCTGGAACTTTACTGATAGGAAAACATTTATTGCTATAGTTAGGGATTGAACTCCAACAATTGTCTAGGAGAATGTGTACTAACTATTACACCCCCTTTTTCAATAATAAAGTTTGCAAAACTGTTTTAAAGTACTTTGTTAATTGTAAGCTTTTGGTGTGCAGTAAGTAAGTAGTAAGTGAACTTGCCAAGTAAACAAAATGGTAGGGATTTTTGCCTTGTTTTTGACATGGTTGGCTTCTTTCTGAACTCAGCGCAGGCATATAAAATAGATTTCAACAGTCTGTGAAATTTAGAGCAGCTGGTTTAGTAATTTGCAACATTACCCTTGTCTGCTATACAGTTACAAATAACATGGGCTTAAAATTATAATATGCTTGCCTGCTGGTTATAAGTTTAAATTTGTGGGATGCAGTGTTACAGTTCTTTATGCCCTATGAGGGCCCCAGTAACACACAACTGCCTTTCTACCTATGATGAAAGCTAATTTAGAAATGACAGTTTGTTGAGAGTTAATTGATGCTGTCACGACACTTACCAAGGTTAGAGTACATGTCCTTGAGGTCTTCAATGTCAATGATGCCATCACGGTTCTGATCGATCATTGTGAAGGCCTGGAACCAGCAAGTGATTTGGGCGGGGAAAGATGTTTTAAGTGGGTAAGGGTGAATAAAAATCAGAAAATTAATGATTATTTTCTTATTTTAGCTGGAGCATCAGCACATAACAACAGAATCAGGAGTTTAGAAATATTAACCAGCACAGTAAGATAGTACTTGTCACAGAAGTGATAGTGATATGAAAGAAACGGATCATAATTAAATGTACATGTTGAGTCAGTTGTATTAATGTGGGGTAAGTAGAGAAATTCCAATATTCAGGGTTGCATTGCACTTTGTCCTCTTGAGGATTGCAGTCCACAGGATTAACACTGCAAGGATGAGAATCTATATGTACAAATCCCAGTGAGAATCTGTATGTACAAATCCCAGTGAGAATCTATATGTACAAATCCCAGTGAGAATCTATATGTACAAATCCCAGTGAGAATCTATATGTACAAATCCCAGTGAGAATCTATATGTACAAATCCCAGTGAGAATCTACATGTACAAATCCCAGTGAGAATCTATATGTACAAATCCCAGTGAGAATCTATATGTACAAATCCCAGTGAGAATAATTATGTACAAATCCTGGTAAGCCCTGTTCAACTGCAAGGTTATTTTGGGGCTATTGTCTAGACCAGGCAGGGATTAAAAGTATATCAGGCACAAGGTTAACATCATGTGAAGTTGTATCACTGAGGTGGAGAAAAAAAATAAGGTAGGCAATAACCATATTACATAAAGAACATGTTATGTATATATTAAAACAAAATGCTATTTGAGGTTAAAAAAAGGAAAACTTGAATGTTACAAGAAACCAGTCTTAATTTCAACACATGAAAGAGGCAACCAAATTCTTTGAGGCTTCAGAAATGTGGCTTCACTTAAGAAATAGTGAAAATTCAATGGACAGCAAAAATAATATTTGATTTCTTTTAAAAACAAAAAGAGACACAAGGAAAACTTAGTGCACACATCATAAAGAGAGCCACAATTTGTTAAGACATCTTATGAGACTGAAAGACCTGGGACTTGTTGTGAAAACTGCACACAGATTTAGGAAAGAGACAGAGGATAAGACAAAGGGAGAAGATTCTTGACTGTATTTTGATCTGATACATATTGTAGAGGTTACAGGATAAGAAGACGAGTGATCACCCATGGCAGTCGACAAGGTACTTGATGATGTTGTCAACAAAAGTAGATAATATGAATCAGATGATGGAGTAAAGTGGTTAATGAACTTACTTACAAAACAGTGGTGCAGAGTTATATTCCTTTCTGTGCCAGGAATTTCCTCAAAGCAGTAAAACTTAGATATAACCACCCGAATGTTTAACGTTAAAAAAAAAAAAAAAAAAATATGGGGTAGGCACTATAAAATCAGTATGCCTCACAGTGAGAAAATGAAATCCCTTTTGCTTTTAAGTATTCTCGGAAATGAACCGCACATAGTTCCCGTATGGGTTAAGGGGCCCTTTTTTGGACGAAAACAAGAATAGACCCACTACCTCCAAAACAGGCATATCAAAAGTGTGGAATAATTGTGGGCTTCCTTCAAAGTCGGATTGTGCCTGAGAGGCACGGAACCAACAGTCTGCACATGAATAAGCTAGATCTGTAAAATGGATGTGCAGGCAACACTCAGGATCTGGAACAAGATAGTCCATAGATAGATGAATAGTCAGAACTTTTCATCAGAGTTTACAGCCAGTGAAGGTGAACAAGAAAAAAGAACTATATTGAAAATTATTGACGACTGTTCTTGAAGTTAGGGCAGTTAGAGAACTGGCCAACCACCTTATTGGACTTCACATTCTTTTGTAACTTCTCTCAGAAAATTATTTGAATATGTTTGTCTGTATCTGTTATGGGAATGACCAAATAGACAACCATTGTTTATATACCCCTGAGTGAGAAATGGATTTGTTCATGTGCAAGAGCTGTGACTGGTGAAGGAATTATTTGTTTACAGAAGGTCTGTGATTGTTCAGCGAGTGATGGTGACAAAGCAGTGGAAATTATCCTGCACAATCAGAGAGGAATGTGGAAAATCTACAAGGTTTAAAATGGGATACAGATCTACATCTACACCAGGACGAAAGGAAGTTTAATCTTGCAAGTTAGCAGGATATCTAGTCTATAAGCTAAGTTAGAGTATCATTACAAAATCAAAGTAATTTTATAACATTAGAATAATGCTTGCCATTAATGTAAAAGTAATGTGTTGTAACAATGACATTACAATTTTTATTGTATATATCTTTAAAAAAAATACTTGAGTTTATCAAATAAAATAATAGTTGTTAAAATATTTAACGATGTTGCAATATTAAAAAATTTGAAATGAAAATGACTTAAAATAATATCTTTTCAACTGGAAATATCTAAAAATTATAGTGTATCAAAGTGAACAGCACTAAAATCTTTATACAAATTGCAATTAATAATAAATCAAATCTCATAAATAAATACAAATTGTAATTACTAGACATGTTAGCCTGTTCGTTGTAAAACAAGCAACATACAAATGTGTTAAACACTTAAACTATTAATTGTAAGCACACATATTGTATAAATGGAAGCAAGAATTCAGAAACATGTTAAACAGCAGTAAATGTTTCAGAGTATTAAAAACATACACAAATTAAAGATTGTGAACAATTATTATTGTTTTGTTATGTATATTAGGATAATATTATTTTGACAGCATGCATGACACATAAATATCAGCTGTTACTTAAAAGCAACTTAGAAAGAAATTGGTTGTGCTTGAATTTGTGTTTGAAAAAGAGCTGTAGTTTTACACCAGATATTGTAAATACTGAATTATTTGCTTAGATACCACAGTAGTAAGTATCTAGAGTAAGTGAGGGGCATTTTTCTGCACTTTCATGAATATTGGGCATTAAGTGCTAGATCTATATTTTACAGACTGAACATTACTGGATGTTACTTGGCACCAGCTTAAGGCTGGGTAGATCTGGGAACCAAGGTCATTTTTGAAACTCAGACTGTCAGGACCTGAATCCACAACCGTCAGATTCGCAGGTGAGCATTTAACCGCTATACCATGGAAGCTCCTACTACAGTAGAGTATTGACTAGCTAACTAGCCTTCTGACGGGGTAGTCCGTTCAAAACTTAACCCAGAAGCAGGATTGTTTCATGACTCTATGGTCAACCATGTTTCTTGAGATGGGTACTAGGTATTTTTCTGGAAGACAATTTGGTCATAAATGTTGGCTGGTCAAGTGTGGCCTAGCGCTATATCACAAATGTATATTGATTGCAAGGAAATCAGACTCCTTCTATACTGGTTAGACAATCAGACTGCTGCTGGTACTATCAGAATCGGAACTCTGAGTTCGCTGCTGAAGATGGGGATGGAGCATTTATGGAAATGTACCGAATGCTGTTATGTTGATTCTTGATACAACTTCCAACATTCTATACTGCTATTGTCTATACTATCTTTATGTGTTCATGTTGGCATTCTCTCTCTCTCTCTCTCTCTCTCTCTCTCTCTCTTCTCTCTCTCTCTATCATTCACACCCACGCAGATCACAACATCTAGTTTACCAACAGGCTTTGACAATAAAATAGGAATTTGACAAGCTTAAACAACAACTGATTATAAATAGATATCTGAAATGCTCTATCGTCTTAGCTAGAGTAGCACAGAGTTAGGCTTTTTAGTGTCATAAGCTTAATAGTTTATAAAAACTCAACTGTAACTTTACTTGCAACTTTAAAAGCAGGCTAACAGTTAACTACTACGTCTCCGCGAGTCCCAGACAGTCAGTGATCAGGTTTATTTTGAACACAGATAATGGACGTTTGCTTAGAAACATTTGACTACACCAAAGACAACAGATTAAATGGTTTGGACAAGTGTCATGACAACAACCAGATAGTGCAACACACAGAGTCGTGTCCCATAGAAATGATGGAAGCAGAGCCAGAGTTTGACCAGGCAAATATGGATAGATGGATTATCCGAGGCCTTCAATACCAGCATCTAGGTAACACATACCAAGGTACGTACTTGATGTCCATTCAATACCTGACACTGAAAGGCAGAACAGGACCACAGGAGGAGGAGAAGAAGAAGAAGAAGAAGAAGAAGAAGAAGAAGAAGAAGAAGAAGAAGAAGAAGAAGAAGAAGAAGAAGCAGCAGCAGCAGCAGCAGCAGCAGCAGCAGCAGCAGCAGCAGCAGCAGAAGCAGCAGAAGCAGAAGCAGAAGCAGAAGCAGCAGAAGCAGAAGCAGAAGCAAAAGCAGAAGCAGAAGCAGAAGCAGAAGCAGAAGCAGAAGCAGAAGCAGAAGCAGAAGCAGAAGCAGAAGCAGAAGCAGAAGCAGAAGCAGAAGCAGAAGCAGAAGCAGAAGCAGAAGCAGAAGCTTATGAACATTATCACCTGTACTAATAGTATGGTATATGATTATGGTGATCATAAAAGTGAATATAAAATGACTGTAGTAAACAGTAAGAATAGTGGCTACATATAAACGTACTGAAACGGCCGAGACTTAGCAGACAGATTTTATGTTTTAAAAAAGAAACTATCTAGTTCTTTACGACCCTTCCTGTGTGCGTTCCGAGGTTTTGTTTTGGGGAGGAAAAAGAATATATTCACTGCTGCCTAACAAGCATGTTGTAACAGCTGACTAATTAGGGGTTTGCTGAAGTTGGATGTGCTGGCCAGAAGGGCGCAGATATCACAGCTCAACTGTAAGCCACAACCTAACCTGCAGAACACCCTTGTACATCAATAAAGTGAAAGGTATAATGTAGGACTAGAATAGACAGAAGCATTTTACAACAATGTCTAAAGAAGAGGGACATTAAAGACTAACAAAAAATCACTGATACACACACAAATGGAAACATGTTAATAAGTATAATCATGCACTGGAGGACCAGAGGTAGGACACAGGTATACACTTGACAGTTTCACTGACATATTACTATCACACTGGACAAAGACAACAACAACGTGATAGTGAGGATGTTAAACTGAAATGACTTATAACTGGGAGATAAAGCTGAAATTGGAGAAGAATTTGCGATTAAAAAAGCTTCACTGGTATGGAAGTTGCGTCGCGAAGTATAGAACAACTTGGCATGAGTTGGTTGAGGGTCTATGCTCCATTTTGGGATAGAAGGCAGAAGAAGAAGAAGTATAGTTGTGGCGCATTTGTTTGCTAATATAAGGGCCTGGGATTAGTTTTCATAGTATGTACATTTGTCCACACAAGATGTGATGTGGTCATTATTGCGTCTGCCACCTTTACTTACAAGAACATTTCCTGGCATCATTTTCAGGCCAGGTTGACTGTGGGCCCATCTCAAAAAGTTGAGCTGTAACACCCGGTATGCCATCAACAAGTCAGTAAAGGAGCTGGTGAGTCTTGTCTGAGGGACTACGGTTGATTGGAGCACACAGGACAGGAGGAGGTGAATCGGGGGGGGGGGGGGGGGGAGCAGGAGGAGGAAAATAAGAAGAAAAAGAAAAAGAAAAGAAAAAGAGATTAATAAGAAGATGAAGAAGAAGATAAATTATTACAATAATAATAGTGACAACAATGACCACAAGTTTAATCTTCATGATTTCACTGAATGTGTGAGATGGATAAAGGGATCATAATGTTAAAAAAAAGAAACAGCCAACAACATATACACATACACATAGAAATGCACATATGTTTATATTATGATTTATTACCAGTAAAACCATTAAAAATGTAAAGAAAGCAAGCAAGACTCCCTGGTTACCCTACATTCTATGTGCATGTATTATATGTTTTTTTTTAAAAAGCCGATTAGAAGTGGATTTATGCTAACTTGCTAATGCTAAGTGTACTTTATTATCCCGTCAAGTAATTACTGATCCATCTCTGATCCTTGCATTTTATTGTCTTATTAATGTGTGTTGTAAATATCCATAGACTGCTTGACTAAAAGTATTTTTTTTTTTTCAATGGGAGTCTTGCAATGTTTTGTTGAAAGTAAGTCACACAGTGTTAACATAAGTACATTCAAAACCCAGTATAAATGAAAGCATTATATACACAATATAAAACAGTGAACATTGTGGATTCAAAAGAGGAAGTTTCCCATGGCTAGCTGGGTAATGTGAGGAAACATGGCGCAGCAAACAACCAGCAAACAAAGGAATAATTAGGGTAAAGGACCACAAAGTATTTCCCAACACAGGGAGGGAACAGAACAGAATGTGTTGTCTGCAAAATCTGAGGGATCTATCTATCTTTTTTTACCCCATTAGGACATCACACAAGTGATAAAAACCCGATGACACAAAGTGCCACCATGTGGATGAGGATCACCAGTGGAGAGGTCCCAGAAACCGCGTTCAGCCATTAGACCATATTTATGGCCAGGCTATATTGCGGCCCCTGGCAACAGCCAGAGTAGGGCTTCAAATAAAGAAAAATTGCATCCCACAAAAGGATGACAATGGTTTGCGGACAAGTGAGGTATAAATGTACTGTAACTGAAATTTGAGTACGGCTTTAAGGCATTATGAGGAATTAATGTGATACTATCATTAAAAGTTCTGTGTAAAAAAAATGTTTATAATAATTTAGATATCTTCTGAGTATGAATGTTAAGCTGCAGAAGTTTATAAGATACATTTATTTTTTTTGCGTAAAAAAAAAAAAATAATTGTTTTGCAGACAACAGATTTATGTAGAGAATTTTATGATGTGGATGAAAATTAATGCTTGGTTTTGGTTTGCACAGTAAGGGTAATGGTTCTCAACCGGGTCAATTCTCAGATACTTGACCTCTTTAAACTCCTGCACCTGTGCTTGGCGGAACGTAGACATTATGTTGGTAGTGGTGCGAGCGTGTCTCTTAAAAAATTGTAGAAGAGAAGAACTTTAGAACATAAGCCAAAAAAAGACAAGAGATCTGACTCAAACTGGCCGCAGCATGAGAACAGAAAGTTCTGAGCATCTTGGGAAGGGACACAAAAAAAAAAAATCAGCAGACGAGAAGCAAAGCAAATTGCCTGTAACATACTTGAAACCTGAGACAACAAGAAAGAGCAAAAATTAGAAATTATGAAGCAAAATACAGTGCAGGCAACTTCCACTTCATTCCTGAGATTATGCCACAAGCATGGCAGCAACAGAGTTGCACTATTTGGTGAATAATAGCGTGAAATGAAAATATACACATATTTTGATGATGCAGTGCTGGAAGCTTTAGTAACCAGACCTCTTTAAACTCTTGGACCTGTGACTGCCTGAACATTGCGAAAACATTGGAAGGTGCTCTCTGAGCTCGCTTGGGCTCACCTTTGGACTTAATGGCCTGAAATAAAGTACAGTTATGCATTATATCATTCTCTACTGCTTGGCGGCTAATTCCGCCTTCCTACCTCCTTCATCTCCTGCATTGTCTTCTTGGGAAGCTTGGCAAAAACATTGGAGGCGGCTCTAGCTGATCGAGCACTTTTCTGCTCGTCCTGTAAAATCAAGAAAGGGTCATAAGTTCTGATGATTTTCAGGGGTCATCACTAAGCATGCATATGCCTTCAGAAAAAATGCCACCAGCAACTTGTTTCTTTTGTATTCATTAGCCCTGTGACTATCATCTCTGATTAACAGATACCGCTGTATAAATGCACTGCTAGGCTACATCTACATGTTAGAGAGAAGAAGACACCATGCAGACAGTACTGGAAACAATACACAACACACTCACTAACAAAGGTGTGAAATAGTTAATTTTGAAGGTGGTTACTTTTGAAGAGTTTCCTTTAAAGGCAGTTACTTTTAAAGGCTGTAATTTTTTAAGGCAGTTACTTTTGAGTGTAGCTAATTTTGTATTTCAGTTAAAAGTTTTCATTTATCATATTTTTCTGTGTATAAGAGGATATGAAATCATAAATAGTTAAACTTAAATTATATCGTCTTGTACACAGAATGTGTTTACAATATTTATTTCCTAACTATACTGCTTGCTCTAAACATAAAGGTGGTTTTGGGTTTTATACATGGAAGTTTAGTTGCGTATCCTTTACAGAACGTTGCAGAACCAACCCCATCAGCCCCTGGCTGTTGTGTGGTTTCACTAGAAAAATTTACGTCCAATAGTTTGCCATTGCTCCTGGACGGTCGGCTCCCTGATACCACTGTCGACAAATGCAATATTTTTGTCATTGTGTTTCATGTGGTATGCATGTGAGGAGAAGTGCAAACTTTGCCATACTATAAATTGTGCAGTCTATTGTTCTGTCTTCTTTGTTCAGATTTAAATTTGGGAAACACAGCTGGGATTTTCTGAGAAATGACAATACTTTAAAAAGACCTAAAACAAACTCACACAAGAAATCACAGTTCACATTCCAGAAACTTCTTAATGGATTCCTAATCATGCAGACTAGTGATATTTTTATTTATGGTTCAGTTAAAAGTTAGTTGCGTATCCTTTACAGGGACGTTGCAGAACCAACCCTAACAGCCCCTGGCTGTTGTGTGGTTTTTCTAGGCAAATTTACGTCCAGTAGTTTGCCATTGCTTCTGGACTGTCGGCTTTCTTGATACCACTGTCGATACCAACGCAAGGTGCATTACTTAAGACAATTATATCCCTATCTTTTTAAAAAACTATTTTTGATCAAACCAACATTTCTGGATAAGTGGGTGGCATTTTCTCCTAGGCATGGTACGGGGAAGCAATGCTGGCAAGCTTGTTGTCTACACTACATCATCAAAGGCACATTGGTCAAGCAGAGTTACAGCAGGGGCATGACCAAGCTCTGCTACTGTTGGAAAGCTGATCTCTGCTAGGTCTACTGACTGCTTTAAGAGAACTTCTACACGAGCGGGACTACGGGATGCTGAAACAAAAACTATGGGCAGAGTAAATGAGCAAGTGCAAAAACGAGACATGTTTTCATCAGCATAATAATATTTAATGAAACAAAAACAAGATGTGAAAAAACATGTTTCACAAAATGCTAGGAACACAGATCTGATTAGATTAAAGTGCTTTTAATAAAAAATAATGTGAAGTCCTTTAATTTGGAGATTAAAAAGATTGCTGTATATATATATATATATATATATATATATATATATATATATATATATATATATATATATATATATATATATTCACATGTACACATATTTGTGCCAAGTTACCGTTTAGAAAGCACACTTTCAAATTCACAAAAAAAAAACACTTTACTGAGAGATCTATGTTGCTAAAATAGAAGCCACTTTTACCTCTGACTGGACTTTTCATTCCCATGCGCCTGGGGAATCTATTTTTACATCAGTACAATAAGTTCTCTGTTTGATTGATTGATGTATTTTTCTGGTTATTACACACAGAGAAAAGTTTTGAGGAGGCAAGGAGTTTTTGTATTTAAATGTTAAAATATAATTTAAAAGACATTAATTTTGCTAGGAACCAAACATTGTGCCAGAATGTCACAGAAAAGAGAACTTATTGTCTGTAAATGATAACAGTTGAAATATTATTTCCATGCACATGAAAAAAAAATACATTCTGTGAAAACATTTGCAACAGGGAAGTTTTAGCTTTCTGGATACTATGCCATATTTTACCCTTGTTTTGTTTTTCTTCAAGAGTTCAACTTTTACATATACACATGAAATAGAAGCCGTAAAACTTAAGCTGTGTTTTACAAGCTCATTGTGGAGCTGGTCATTTATACTGAGGGAATTATCATCATCATCATCATCTAAATGTGCCATTCTATGTCACAGAGGGCAATCAGTCGTCTTCTGTTCTGTTCTTTCCTGTGTAATCCTTTCCATCATTGATGGAATACAGTTCAGCACCCCTGGTATGTCTTATGTTAAATTATGTTTTCCAGGAAATATTATTATCATTAAAAACATTGCTTTGGCCTGTAACAGAAAAATAATTTTTCTGCCTATAGATGGGAACTCAAACAATAATTTGAAAAGTATCTTTTCAGATAATATTCAAACGTAAACCTTCCTGCAACGGAACTAACAGAAAAGCTAGTTATTTCAATCCTTTAAATCTCCTTGTTTTGTATTTACCAGAAATGTAGACAAGTGGTAAAATTCCAGATGTCTGTTCTACACATGCACATCTAATTTACTGTATATCTAACAAATCAAGGCATGCCCTAGTCAGAGCTACATCATTCAACTCAGAATTACTACTTGTGCTTGCATCATAAACCAACTGCTGATAATTCACACTCATTAAATAAGAACAAATAGCATTTTTGGAATAACATGTATAGATCTTACATCACAAAACAATCAGTAGAACCATATCAGGCACTATAGAAGCACTTGTTATAAACTCTTGGTCTACATGTTTAAAATGTGCTTTTTTAACGAACTAAATTGTAAGAGCCAATCTAGAGAATTAATATGATTTTCATAATATTATTTTTAATCTTGTTTGCTTCATACTGACTTATAACAAAAACGTCACCATGGGTCACCTCACAGATTGCCAGAAGGGATTTGTAAGATACTGTAATGGAAATGGGCGTCATTTAGTTTACACATTCAGGCTCGTAGAATTCATTTAAATGTAAACATCAAGATGCACAGGAAGATCAGAACCATCTGGAGTGAAGGAATCACTGACAGCTTGAGTCATCAAAACATTATCCGTTAAACTGCAAATGTCTAATGGCCAAAGCAGATACTGGCAAAAGAAGAACTTGTAGAGTCTCAACTACTGAAGCCACTCTAAGTTTTGTTTTTTTACCTGAGGCAAATCTTTTGTCACATCAAGTTTCACTCAGTGTGCTACGAGTTCTTCTTCTTCTTCTTCTTTCTATTGTCGTCTCACTGTTACCAGGTTGTTGTAAGCCAATGCCGTGGTTGTGTATTTGTCCTGCGCCTCTCTGGTGGCTTGAGTGATGGATTTGCTCAACTTTTTGCAGGTTTCATCTACACTTTTATCCATTTATTTCTTGCTCTTCCTCTCGCCTTTCTCTCAGATTTTCTGCTGTAAGAAGTCTTATATGCAGTCTGGTCTGGTTGCATTCTTACTAGATGGCTGAACCATTTAAATCTTTGTCAATATAACCCAGACATAGTCTCATTCCAATTTTCTCTAATACTAGTATTTGTAGCCCTGTCTCGTATAGTGTTGTTAGTGACCTTGCGGAGACAGCACATTTCAATGCAATTTTCTGTTCTAGTGCCCTATTCATTGTCCATGTTTGGCACTGATAACATAAAGTAGGGATAAAGATGCTATTATTCATTTGCTGTTTTGCTTGAATGGAGACATTTGGGTGTATAGGCAGCGGGGCTAACTCGTAGGTGACAGCGTGTGCCTTCTGTACTCTGTCTTCTATATCTCATTCTAGTCTGCCTCTGTAAAAATGCTTCCTAGATATTTGAATTCTCGAATTTGTTTGACTGTAGTACCGCTAACATGAACGTTCATGATATTAAGTTTCCTGGTATTCTCATTAACTCAGTGTTTGCGGTGTTTATTCTAATGTCATACTCTGTGCAGGCTTGATGTAAGGAGTCAACATGGTGTGCTATGAGTTAACCCCTGGTAAATTTCTTCTGATCTGACATGTGAGATGCGATCATGTATGAAGAAAAAGCAATGACCCAATTTCTATACTGGCAAATCCCATTCCTGTCTAGTGGTCATTAACTTGCAGATAATTGTTTTCGACATGACAATACTCAGTAAGTGTTTAGATCAAAAGCTATCAGTATACCTAGATTTCTGAATCAGCTGCTTTTATATAGTTCCATTCAGTTATCACATTTATCTGATGATGTAGTTACAACATTGTGTTGGTTTCCTGCTCTTTAGGCTAAATCAGACACAAATTCACTTGCAGTTTCCTTTTTAAACATGCCCTATAACTAAGTTTTGAAATTTCCTTTACTGTAAAAATGCAAATGTAAATTATTTTGAGTATTATGTTTTACTATTGGTAGACAGCAGATTAAAGGGCGTGGCCACGTAACAAGATTGGCAACAGACAGGGCACCACTGAGATAAGTGTTATAGATTCAGCGGTAACAGATCAAGATGTCGACCACGCCGACCATAGACCTCGCAAATACTGAATACTGGACAACGAAAAATGACTGTATATGAAGTAAACAGAAGGGCTTGTTCCAGAGATCACTTTCTGCCCTGATGCTGCGATGTAGTCCAGGAGTAAAGAGCAGAAGAAGAAGATTTTCTACTTTACTGCTATTGAATAAATGTATGCAATATTGTCATACATATACACATTTTTAGTGCTGCTGAACTTAGTTTAACTATTGGATGGTTAGTTCAGAAAGCTATGAAATATGTGTCTGAAAAGTGACTTACCATTCAATAATGTA